CTTGTGGCCCTTGTTTGGCTGGTATTGTGCTGATTAGGGCATCAAGGTATTCCGCGGCCTGCTACCTACGCGGTGACTGGTTCCTGTTGCTTCTCGGGACGGTGTACTTTTGTGTGGATTTTCTTTTATTTTTATTTTCATTTGCCTAGTTCTGCTGGTAGTATTTGGTGGCTCTCTGCTAGGCCCCTGTGATTGTACACGACGCAGGGGTTTTCAGTGTTCGCATCTATTCTTTATCATTTACAGGCCATGGAAAACCCTGTTGAGGCTTGGTGGACCACTGGATGTGTCTTCCGGGTTCCAACCCGTCTTGTGCGGGTTCATTCGTTGCTGTGCCCTTGTCTCAGGGTGACAGTCGCCTCGTTTACCTTCGTCATGCTGCCTGTTGGGTCACTGACACCTTGACCCGGAGTTTTGCGAGATGTGTTCTCTGCTTGTTCTCCAGTACTCTTCTGATGTCCTTACTGTTCAGAGTACAGGCGGCATCCGCGTTGCAAGCTTGTTTTTTTTGTTTTTGTTTTCTACCACAGACGTGGCCACACATTTACAATGCTAACCAGCATATATACATTTTCTTCTGTCCTCCATGGACAGGGTTTGAGATGTGTTAAACATATAGTTCAGGGGTTTATTGAACAATTAACCACAGAAAGTGATTCGGTACTTTTAAAATGCTAAGCTAACCTACTTACGTAAATACATAGATACACAGATTTACGTATGCCCTACATAAAGTGTTCGATGTGTCTTTTACATAGTGTCATTAATGTGCATTTACAAAGGTGAAATGTAATTCTGATCAGCTTCCATATATACTTTATACACATATACACACACACACATATACGTACATATACATACTATATACATACATATATACACACGCATGCATTCACATACATTTGTCTCTTTTACTCTGACAGGGTGAGATAGCTGATTGAGAAACTAGTGTGCAATTAAGCACTTAATCACTGAAGGTGATTAAGGTGCTTTTACAAGCTCAGGTTATATAGTTACATCACATACATTGTATAATTGATACATTACATGGTCAATCTTGGGTACAAGTCCAATATATCAAGTGTTCCAGTACTCGTATAGTAATTACAGAGTTCAGCATACCTTAACCCAGGAGGGCAAAAGTCAGTCAGTATGGGACATTCTACAATATAACGTTCAAGAAAGTGCATGTTTTCTCTTTCACAAAGTTGACACATTGTGTACTCGACATTTGGGTTTTGAGAAAGCTGCCAGATACGTCTATATCCCAGGCATATTCTGGCCACTATAACAGCACATTGCCGGGTTCTTGTTCTATTAGTCCCATATGTGAATGTCTCCTCACGATATCTATCATAATATTTAATGCTACAACTTTCAGGTCTTTGTGAATTTGTTAGGTCGGTGAGATCTTCATTAGATATTTGTTTAAGTATTCTCTTTGTCACTGCTAATGAAACACCCATATCAATTTCTACCACTGGTTTTCTATAGGCTGTTTTTGCAAGCATATCAACAGTATCATGCCTTGAGATGCCAACATGTGATGGTATCCATAGGAATTTAATTTCAAATCTCTTCTCTTTAGCAGCTAAAACATTCATTCGAATATCACTGACTATTTTCTGGGTGTCACTACTATGTGTGTTCAATACCAGGAGTGCACTCTGCGAGTCACAGTATATAAGTCCACTGCCTTTGTCTTTTAAAAATTCAGTGGCAACGTATATGCCTGCAAGTTCGGTTTGAGTTGTACTTGCCTAGTCATTGATGTGCTTCATTGCTGTATGTACGAGAGAAGATTGTTCAAATATATTGCATGCACATCCGGTACATCATCCACCTACTTCTACAGAGCCGTCGGTATAGCACTGATACACATCTTTACCCATACTCTGAGTACTTTCAAAGATGCTTTTCAGTGTCAAGCTTGGTTTAGGTTGCTGCTACGTGCTAGGTTGGTTTCCCACCTGGATGCCCCAGGGCTGCCCCGTTTTGGTTAGGTGCTGTTTGCCCCTTTTCCCTCCCTGTTCGGGGCTCCTGATCGTCTGCAGATTTCGGGATCGGGGCAGGGTTTAGTTGGTGCCGAGATTCGGGCGACTTCGGGGGCTGCCCAGTTCGGGTTGGGGACGGAGGTTTTCAAGCCTGATCCTCCTTCCGAGGCTTCTTAGTCTTACCAGTGGCCCTTTCTTTGCTGCCTTTCCTCTGGACTCTTCCTTTTCTTTAAGGGCAGAGGGCGTGGAGGACAGCTTTGCCCCGAGGCCTTCTGTTGCAGGTTCCCGGGGCTGTGGTGGATGCCCGCTAGCAGTTCTGGGGCTGTTTGACCCTGCCTGGGTTTTCTGCTTCTGGGCGGGGTTTTTCGTCCCTCTCGTCTGCGTAATTCCCACATTTGCTGGCGTGTTTTCGGATCTATTGCGTTGGTCACGGCTCCTTGTTCTGGTGGCCACTTTCTTTCTGCAACTTGTTCCGCTTGGCCGCTGGCGGTGCTGCTGTTTGTTTACCTGTGCCTGGGTGAGTTTTTCACCTCCTTCAGGGGTTTTATCCTCCTGTTGACGTTTCTTTGCTTTTCTGGGGTGTTCTGCCCGTCTTCTGTTCCTCTGGGAATGTTTGGATGTTGGTTTTTGCGTTTTCTGTCTGTTTGGGTCTGGGCTCTGGGCTCAGTGTCCCTGTCTGTTTATGCCTGCTCTCACACCTTGTCCCTCGTTTTTTGGTTCGTTTTGGCCGTTTCCCTGGGGGTTTTGTCTGGGTGCTGGGCTTTGCCCTTTCTGTGGTGTATTTCCGTTGGCAAATGTGGTAGTTTGGGCTCCGCCGGGTTCAATTCCGGGTTCCTTTGTGTTCTTTGGTTTCGTTCCGGAGGTTTCTTCCTCTTGGGACCTCTTTGTGGGTTCAGGGGGCTTTGTTTCCTCGTGTGTGACCCGGTTCTGCCTTCTGGAGTTGGCATCTTCTACAAGATGCAGCTCAACAAAATCCTGGACAGAAAGGAGATCACCACATGGTCAGACACTGAAGAACAATAAAGAAGGGACAGTAAATAGTAAAAAAAAGAGTTCCATAAAACCTCATACTATCGCTGAGAAGAAGCACACACATGGGACATCATTAAGTTAGCCACTTGCTCACCATTAAGATGTTGATAAACCTGTGTTAGAAAAACCAGAGAAGGCTGAACTAGTGAATTATGTCACTGAGCAGACCCTCAAGAAGATGCGGGAGCCATGGAAAAATGCCCGGGTTTGTACACCGAGCGAGCAGCCCCTGAGACCAAGGCTCAGTCAGACACCAAGGCAGGAAACCCAATAAGATTTCAACTTAGATTCAACAGAGCAGAAATTGTTGTTAAACACATGGGGCAAAATCTTACTGAAGCAACCATACGAGTCATAAATACTCATAATCCGCTTAAGTAAAACTGAAAGAAGTAACACTTAGTGGGCCAGCCAGAAGCTTGGGGCCCATGCATTAATATCCCTACAAAAAAAAAGCCAGAAAGATTACCCTCCTCCTGTAGGACTCCATCCTGGCCAGGACCCTGAGCAATATTTGAACTATGAGGAAGAGGTATAGGGACCCCTACCTGGACCAGTTCACCTGAAAAGCATTCCCTGTGAGAGCCTCACAATTGGGGAATGACACCGAATAAAGAGGAAGGTGCCAAGACCATACTGATGCAAAGAGGGCCACATCCAAGCACCAGAACCGCTTGCAAAGCCACAGATAGGAGACAGCATTGATGGTCCACTCCATAAAATGACCTGAACTTCCGGAATGGGGGAGGAACCAACCAGCCCCACTGCAAGGCTGAGTGAAACAACTTTAAAAACCCACTAATTGTGTGACCAGAAGTTGGGAAACCAAGTGAGCCAATCCCCTGCCCTCACTGCTCCGTCCTATGGGTGAACAACAAAAGAGCTTGCATGAACCTAGAAAGGACTACATTCTGATAAGAGCAAACACAGCACCAACCAGACAATGAAGACCTAGCTGGGGAAAACACATGTGACCTGGCCTCTGGCTCCACCGATGATCTACCCTGAACAGGAAAGGCAATGCCCCAGTCCTCCCTGACCTCCTTGAAGACAATGAATAAAACCCCCATACACTAAGAAGGTTTGATATGGGCCCATAAGCCATAGCTGCCGAAAACAGAAACCAGCCTTCCATGTCCTTGGGGAGAAAAGGATAGGCGGGAGAAGAGAGCTAGGGCCCATGCTATATCAACGTGGAAGATTGCATGTCCGTACTAGATTCGACATGGGCTACTTGTATATCTCAACTTGTATGTCCATGCCTGTTGACATGCAAGTAGGGAGGCGAAGAACGTGGTCACTGCCTCCTGAATTACAGAGGTATTTAGCTTGGGGAGTGCCGTTGACACCATAACAGTAGATACAAAGACACCCATGTGAGAACCCCCACCGAGAGTTCTGACGTCCCTCGTGAGCCAATTGGAATGTAACTCGAGGAGCTCAAGGAAGTGCACAATGGAACCCAGATGCAGGTGGATGTGAATGTTTTCTGCTTCAAGTGCTGCCAACAACAGGGCAACCTAGGCATGGAGCTGCATGAGACTTGCATCCCATGAAAGAGTAGGAACACATAGGCAGTCATTAAGAGGTGCATAAGAAGAGCTCCCAGAAACACTTGGAATGCAGACGACACCTCACAGTATCCTTGTGTGCAGGTATGACAAAAGCCAAGCTCCAATGGAGAACAAGGGATTGTATGCTAGCCAGGAATACTCCAGAACCCCATAATGTTTGAATATTTGTAAGTTTATTTCTGACAATTTATCTAGATCCAGAATATCTGAATAGTCTTTGAATTTTCCAGAAGCTACTTGAATCAATTTCTCTTCCAGTAATCCTGAAGTCTTATAACCTGACTTCCATTAAACAGGCAATTACCGTACAGTATTTCTAAATAGAGTATTGTTTGTATTATGAAGCTTGTCATTATATTTTTATAAATTTGCACACATTTTTTTCCATTTTATAACAAAGGGGTGAACTGGACCAGAACCCCAGTCGACGGCTGCGGGGATCGCTCAAGAAAATACAAGACACGCTCATTCTTAACCCAGATGCCTCCCAAGATGACCCATCTGAGCAGGATAAGGTTGGGGCTTATTGAAATTGTTACTCCTATTGGTATTCATTTTTATAATTTTCAGAAATATATTAGGTTTGACTGAGAAACATATAGGAAAGGAGATGGGTAGGGAGGGAGTACATTGTATACAGTACTCGTAAATTAGCTAACCCTTTCTACATGCAATGCCAATGATGTTGCACAGTATTTCATTCTTATACAGGTACAAAGTCCATCGTTATCACCAGTGGTGGACATATCATCTTCAACAAGTATATATGGTTTACCAGTTCGAGTAGCAGCAGTCGAGAGCCTGGCTTTTCTAGCAGCCCAGCTGGAGGCTTTACACTGCCATATTGAACCTCTCATCCCTCAGCAGCGAAGAACTTTTCTCCAGCAGTTCTACACAGGCACTGTGAAGATTACTCCCGAGGTGGGAAACAGGTTCTCTGCTTGAAGTCTCTTAACAAATTTTTTCCTGAAATTGATACAACTATTAACAGTACCTGTATTTCTGTACCTCTGGCAGATTTCCAGAGTTATACACTCTTAATATCTTAGCTTTAAGTCAGTCTTTCTACCTAATCATCATATCATATCTACCTAATCAGCAATGTTATTAGTGTTATAGCATATAGTCTTACATTGTCTTTGAACCAATGAGCTCTCTTTTAATGACTTTTACTCGAGTTCCTGTATTTGCTGGTTGAAGACGGAAGAATTTTGGGCTCTTGAAGTTGACACTGTTTAATATAACTCATGCCACCTGAAACTTATGGCACCCCTTACCTCTGACTAGCTTTATCTTGTACCCTCTTTCCATCTCTCACTCAAGTCAGTTATAATATGCAGATCAGGAACCTGACAAAAATTTCCCACATGTAAAATATACGATCTCTCTCATCAAAATTCTAAAGAGTGCAGCCCAAGTGCTTCAGGCAGTCCCAGGAGTTTAGATGTTGTGAGGATTAGAAAGAGAATGGGTGCAAACAGTGCCTTCCGGAACTGAACTTAACTATTCTCTTGCAACTTTTTGTTTGATTTAGTACTAGAGTTGGCTCCTGATTTTGCAATGCCCATGATTGGCTTCGCTGAGATATGACTAAATTTATTTCACAAGGTAAAATGAGCCAAGTTTATATCTCGACAATTTGACTGCAGACATACATACATAGGAGGCCATATTCCTTGTTGCTGATCTTTTCTGGGGAAGCCCCTATGGCTCCCCGGAGCTATCCAGGCTGATAGAGATAGTCCTAACTTTTGGCATCAGTCAATGTGGGTGGAGTTCTAGGCCACTTATGTTATTGACCCTTAACATAGGCCAATTATGTTATGACCACTTAGAACCAGTAACCGGGTTCTTGATGGATGAACATTGGTTCTTGATGTCGGATGTGTGGTATCCGACCCCGAGTCGGTAGTGGTTTTCAAGGAATTGGCCAGATAATGCATGAATAATAACAAAGATGAACAAAACACCGTTTCCTTCACCAATATATTCACCATCGCCATAAATAGATCTATCTTGAGGTTATCTTGAGATGATTTCGAGGCTTTTTAATGTCCCCGCGGCCCGGTCCTCGACCAGGCCTCCACCCCCAGGAAGCAGCCCGGGACAGCTGACTAACACCCAGGTACCTATTTTACTGCTAGGTAACAGGGGCATAGGGTGAAAGAAACTTTGCCCATTGTTTCTCGTCGGTGCCTGGGATCGAACCCGGGACCACAGGATCACAAGTCTAGCATGCTGTCTGCTCGATATATATAAAAATGGAATATTACTACTCTTATACTTATATACAAGTGTCGCTTTCGCACAGGACACTGAACACTCCAAGACGCTCACACGATGCCGCCTCCGTCAATCCCAGTGTTTCCACTACACTCTGTACCTTTCTCAACCTTACTGGCCACAGTACTGGGAAACACTGGCGAGTTTACCTTTCCTGTGGGCCAGCCTACTGACAGTATCACGAGGTGCCTCTACCCTACGACCACTCTCCAGCCAAGTGCTGGCAGAGAACCTCAGCCACGAGCTGATTTGGGGCCACAACACAATCAATACAGGGGTAGCGAACTCCTGGCAGAAACCTCTAGCGACTGGCTAGTAACGCTCCTCAACAAGCACCTCACTGTCGCTCGTCTCTTCCCTTAGCCAGTCCCGGGATACGCCGATCTCTTCCAATGCTACTCCAATAGCAGACAACACACTCTGCTTCTGATCGGCAGCGGCTTACTTAGTCGTCTGGCGGGACTAAGTCGGGAAAGCTTAGGCTGCCAAAGGTAAACTGCCTGCCTCAGTACCACTGTTGCCCCATATTACCTCCGTGAACAGACACATCATCAGTTATATGGATGGTACTGGTGAAACCAGGAAGTATCACTTATTCACTGGGGACATTGACATTGTGCTTCATAGCACAACAGATGGCGCTGCTCTTCTCGTCTTTCTTGTATTTCCACACGTTTAATTTCCATTTCCTTTTCTTTCATTTCTTTTTCTAACTCTAGTTTTTTCCACTCTATCTCGCGATTTATCTCCAATGTACGCAATTTGACAGTGAGTAGACTGATATTCAGTTCACTAGTATCACTCTCACCGTCACTTCCTCTGTCTTCCTTTTCAGTGGAAGCCGGGACACTTTTCTTGGTACTCTGTGCCTTTCCTGCTGTCTATCGGCCTTTAAGTGCTTATGGACCCTAGAGAGGATCTCCACACGGGAGTCACATTCACTCACTTTGATCCCCTAAGTAAACACTTATTAGCACTAGTTCCGGCTTTCCTAGATATTTCAATCTAGCGCAACAGTCCTCTTTGTTCAGGAATTCCTGAACATCGTCTAGGCTCTTCTGCAGGATGTTGGCATGGTTCAGCTTTCTGTGCAGGTTCCCTCCTTGTTGGCAGAGCTTGTGGTGGAGGACTTGCATGCACGGAGCTCATTGGCTTCGGTCCTGCGTTTCTTCACCCTCCTTAAACTGTCTTCTGATTGGCTTACGGAGGATGCAGAGGCGCTTGGGGCTGTTCCTGGGTCTAGCACCTTTGCCTCGGCTGCTCGTGCGTCATCTGCTCTTTTGAAGCTCTTTACGCCGATCCTGTGGGATTCGCTGTTGTTGTTTTTCGCTGCGTGCCTCGCGTGTTGGCAGGTGGTGCTCGCTTCCCTTCTAGAATCCGCTTGATTTAGTACTAGAGTTGGCTCCTGACTTTCCAATGCCCATGATTGGTTTCACTGAGATAAGGCCAAATTTATTTCACAAGGTAAAATGAGCCAAGTTTTTATCTCGACTCTGGCTCTTAGATTGTCTTCTCTCTTTTGTCCTTTGCTGTTTGCTGCTTCTGCGGTTGAACAGCAGTATATGCAGGCGGCCTCTTCCAGTGTCCGGCCGATGTCTGACCTGTTGGTTTTCCTGGGGTCCAGGGTGGGTTCCTCCCGGATGGGTCGTGCCAGGGCCCGCAGTTCTGCCCGTCGAAGTGAGCCACAGCTGGGTGCTTGGATGGTGTCCCTGGACCTCAAGGACGCTTATTGGCACGTCCCAATTCATCTGAGGTTCAGGGACTGGCTCGGTTTTGTTGTAGGGCGTCAGAGTTACCGCTTTTGTTGTCTCCCTTTCGAGTTGAACCTGCCATCTTGCGTGTTTGCACGTCTTGCCGGGTCATCATTGCCCGTCTGCGTCTGTTAGGTGTTCGGGTGTTGGCTTACCTCGACGACTGGCTGGTTTGGGCTCCCAGTCGGTCCGCGTGTTAGCTTGCCAGGGATGTGGTGTTTTCCCAATTAGCCGGGTTCGGATTCCTAGTGAACTGGAGGAAGTCCCATCTGACTCCCTCCCAGGTTCGGACCTGGCTGGGCCTTGCGTGGGACTCTCGGACCGCTTCCTTGTCTCTTCCTCCGGAGTCTCTCCTTTGGCTGCGGTCCCGCATGTGCTGGTTTCTGGGGGCTCCCGGGTCACCCGGCGGTTGCTCGAGGGTCTGTGTGGAAGCCTGAACTTTGCGATGATGGTCTACCCGCCGGGTCGGGTTTGGCTTCATCGGCTGTTCTGGTTCCTTCGGGGACTTTCCTTCTGCCTCTCGCGATTGCTGGGTTCGAGCCCTCCAAATGTACTCACTAGAAAGAAGACGAGAGAGATATCAAATAATATACACCTGGAAGATACTGGAGGGCCAAGTACCAAATCTACACAGTAAAATAACAATGTACTGGAGTGAACGATATGGAAGAAAATGCAGAATAGAACCAGTGAAGAGCAGAGGTGCCATAGGCACAATCAGAGAACACTGTATAAACATCAGAGGTCCGCGGTTGTTCAACGTCCTACCTGCAAGCATAAGAAATATTGCCGGAACAACCGTGGACATCTTCAAGAGGAAAACTAGATTTATTCCTCCAAGGAGTGCCGGACCAACCGGGCTGTGGTGGGTATGTGGGCCTGTGGGCCGCTCCAAGCAACAGCCTGGTGGACCAAACTCTCACAAGTCAAGCCTGGCCTCGGGCCGGGCTTGAGGAGTAGAAGAACTCCCAGAACCCCATCAACCAGGACCCCCAGTGGCTTTGCTGCTGCGTCGCCATCGTTCTCTTTGGGTTTTTCGGGGTTCAGTGCCTTGGCGCCTACCCGAGCCCTCGCTTGATGTGTTCCCGGACGCGTGGTCGCTCAGCTGGGGCTTTGTGAAGAGTGCTCACCAGGTCGACCAGGTGTGGTGGGGTCCATCCTTCCTTCGGGCCCACAACACGGTGCCGGAGTTCGCAGCGGTGTGGTTTGCGCTTTGGAGGATTCAGGTCGCCTGCAGATCAATGATTCGGCTCCATTCGGCTGCGCTCTCCCGCCTGCGCTCAAGGGAGTACAGAGACATTGGTTCAGAAAAAGTAGTGTAAATAATGCATAGTACAAAATTTTGAATTGGGATGTATGCATAAAATTATGATAATTTTTTTCCAGATTCGCCATCATGTATACACAGCTGTTGCAACACAAGTTATTGATTATGATGGAATTCTAAACCGCATGGCCTGTGTCAAGTGGGATATCAGTGATCTCATGAGCCAACATAGCGAGTATGTTGACGTGTTGTTGAGACAGCTACAGGTATGGTATAATTCAATGCTTATTCCATCTATCCTTTGATGTCTTGTTTCCTTGCAAAACTTGACTTTGGGTAAGTGGCCTCATGTAGAATATTATCCAGGCATCTCAGCCCCATTAATATAGATGCTTTGAAGGATTACTTAAAATGCTTGATGTGGAATTCCCTTTTGGTTTAATTATGTTATGCATAAAATAGTTGTCACTTACAGTATTTTGCACAGAAAATGTGTATTAAAGTAGGAAGTTTCCCACCAAACATGTGCAAGTGAAGAAGTAGAAATAAATTTAGAAACAGATGACAGTACAGGTATGGGAAATAGGAAAGGACTGTAGCAGAAATGACTGAAATAGCAATTTAAACGTTAATGAAAAGTAATCCACTTGGTGGGAACTTGGCTTGAGAGTTATGGTAGTCATGCAGTCTTTGTTTAACCAACGTGCTGCACCGAGTTTATTGTGAAATTCCCCCTGTGCGCATGAAATAAAGTGTTCCAAAAAATACTTTTTTTCTTTGTAAAATGATAAATTCCCTTCCCTGAACCTGTCTATGTAAAAATAAATACCAAATTCCACTTACTTTGGTTGTGGGGACGTGAACAAGGTGCACTGTGACGTCATCAGGGCCTGGTCTCTGAAAAGATAGCCCCCGACCGCGAAACCCGCCTAATGAAGTTCCCTAACCATGTAAAAAAACATCAAATTCTCTCATTTGGGGGAACTGGGGACGTAGCTCACTGCTAGGGGATGATCTGTCGGCTCTTTCACTGATGTAGTGGTTCCTGGGTCGCCTCTCTTCTGTGCACACTCTTCTGTTCAGCTAAGTGGTATGGTATTTGCCCTTGGTGGCTTTTCCTGAGCACTGTGATGTAGCATGAGCCTGTTAGTTTTTTTTGGTTGCAGCAGTCTAGGTTGCATGCTCAGTTGGATGCCCCAGAGCTGCCCTGTCTGGTGCTTAGGGCCCTGGAATTGTAGGTGTTGGTTAATTCCACCTTGGCTCCACCCACAACTCCTCTTTTATGGGGGAGCCCCGTCGGCTCCCTGAAGCTATCTGAACTGATATGCTGCTATATTAGTTCGGGGGTCATCAGTCATAGGAGTTCCTTTGCCTACCGGGAACCACAGCTAAAACCTGGTCCCCCTCAGAGAGGCACAGGAAGCAATGGCGTAGGAGCACTTTACATTTACAGACTGTTATATTCCGCCATCGACAGGGATGGGCACCCATAAACATAGGCGAACCAAAATAAACAATTACCCGGTAAAATTGCGATCTACAGCCAGAAAGAGCAAAGAAACTCCTGCTGAAAGAAAAGAAACTACCAACCCTGCACTCAACGAGTACTGGCATACTCCCCTACCCCCAGAATGGGGGAGGGGGGCCAGCCACCCACCACCTCAGTTCTCATCCTGATATGCTTGCAGTTGCTCAGTCACCTCTGACCTCTAGTTCATGTTCTATATTTTGCCCTGTGTGGCTGTACCAGCTGTGTGTGGGGTATGGGGGCCAGGTGTTCTTGTACTTGGAGCTGCATGCGCCTAGGACACCCTTCCCAAAGTGCTCCGTAAGTACTACTCTTGGGCGTCTGGGTTATCTTCCCTACGTTCGGGACTTACTCTTCATTAGAGGACTTCATTGTTTGACGTTGCCTTTGCCCTTGGGATGAGTCTGGGGCTTTCTGTTTTGCCCCGGGTATGGGTGTATTATTGGCTGGAGGGGGTGCACTGCAGCTAGAGTAGTCTGCTTACTACCTAAGCGACGGCTGACGCTTCTCTCTGGCTGCTAGTTTGCTTGTGGTGTGGTTTCGGGGGTTTGTTATTTTTTTTTTCATTTTCGGGCATGTTTCCCCATGTGGACGGAGGAGGTCTGTTTAGCTGCTTATTAGGCTCGCCTGGGTTATGGTGGCTCTTCTCCTCCATTGCCCACAAGGTTTCACCACTGCTACTGGTAGTCGGTTTGCCTGCTTACAAGCAGGGTGCCACTCATACAGATCTTGAATGTCTGCAAATTACACTGATATTAGAAAACAAAAATTCCTTTTTAAAAGCAGAAACTTTCTCAAAGGCTTCATGTATTATTTATCATGGTTCCCACTATTACCACAGGGCCGCTATGTTTCATTGTCTGTTCTTAATAGCGATGGGATTGGCTGTGCCTCTCCCATTAGTGTCACATGAAAACTTTTTGTTCTGATCTTTAACAGAAGAATTCATTTAAACCGTGTCTCTTAAAATTATTGCATTCCTAGTCATTTCATTTCTGTCTCACTCGGCAGTTGCTCGAGCAGCTGTGTGGGAGCCTGAACTTTGCTCTTCTGATTTATCCGCTGGGTAGGGTTTGTCCTCGGAGGATGCTCTGGTATCTTTGAGGGCAGCCTTTTTCACTGCTCTCACAATTGCTGGGTTCGTCCTGAGAAAGCGGTACATCCTGAGCAATCAGGTGCTGCTTGCTCGGTGTCTGAACCCAGGCTTTTTCCACCGCTCCACCTCTTTCGGCAGGTCAGGCTGGTGAGGTTCCTTGCTGGTTCGACTTACTCCTCCACAATACGTGTCTGAAATTTCTGATGCGGGTGTATCGCCATTTGTATGATGATCAGGTGGCTACTTTGATGGTGTTCCACCTATGGTTCTCTTCTCAGTGACAGTACAGTTTCTTTGTGGGCACACCATGTATTTATTCATATTAATATATAAATATATATATGGCCTATATATAAGCCTAAATCTTATAATTGGACATAGCAAACATTTTGCCTGAAATATATAATTGTAATCACTCACTTGCTGCTGTTAAACTTTCAGTGGCACATACCTGGTTGATAACTGGTTGATGGGGTTCTGGGAGTTCTTCTACTCCCCAAGCCCGGCCCGAGGCCAGACTTGACTTGTGAGAGTTTGGTCCACCAGGCTGTTGCTTGGAGTGGCCCGCAGGCCCACATACCCACCACAACCCGGTTGGTCCGGCACTCCTTGAAGGAAACAATCTAGTTTCCTCTTGAAGATGTCCACGGTTGTTCCTGTAATATTTCTGATGCTCGCTGGTAGGATGTTGAACAACTGTGGGCCTCTGATGTTCATACAGTGTTCTCTGATTGTGCCCATGGCACCTCTGCTCTTCACTGGTTCTATTCTGCATTTTCTTCCATGTCGTTCACTCCAGTACGTTGTTATTTTACTCTGCAGATTTGGGACCTGTCCCTCCAGTATTTTCCATGTGTATATTATTTGGTATCTCTCTCGTTGCCTTTCTAGTGAGTACATTTGGAGAGCTTTGAGTCGATCCCAATAATTTAGGTGCTTTATCTCGTCTATGCGTGCCGTATATGTTCTCTGTATTCCCTCAATTTCAGCAATCTCTCCTGCTCTGAAGGGGGAATTGAGTACTGAGCAGTACTCAAGACGGGACAACACAAGTGATTTGAAGAGTACAACCATTGCGATGGGATCTCTGGACTTGAAGGTTCTCGTAATCCATCCTATAATTTTTCTGGCTGACGCAATACTTGGTTGGTCATGCTTCCTAAACGTTAGGTCGTCGGACATCATTATTTCCAAATCCTTGACATGCTGTTTTCCTACTATGGGCAGATTCGATTGTGTTTTGTACCCTGTATTATGTTTAAGATCCTCATTTTTGCCGTATCTGAGTACCTGGAATTTATCACCGTTAAACATCATGTTATTTTCTGCGGCCCAATCGAAAACTGTATTAATATCAGTTTGTAGTTTATCAATGTCTTCAGTAGAGGTAATTTTCATTCTAATTTTTGTATCTGCAAAGGATGACACGAAGCTGTGACTTGTGTTTTTGTCTATATCTGATATGAGAATAAGGAACAGCAGTGGTGCAAGGACTGTACCTTGAGGTACAGAGCTTTTAACTGCGCTCGGACTCGATTTTACTTGATTGACTGTTACTCTTTGTGTTCTGTTCGACAGGAAATTGAGTATCCAGCGTCCTACTTTACCAGTTATACCCATTGACCTCATTTTGTGTGCAATCACTCCATGGTCACATTTGTTGAATGCCTTTGCAAAATCTGTGTACACGACATCTGCATTATGTTTTTCCTCTAATGCCTCAGTGATTTTGTCATAGTAGTCAAGTAGCTGTGAGAGGCATGATCTTCCTGCTCTAAATCCATGTTGGCCTGGGTTGTGGAGGTCATTGGTTTCCATGAATCTAGTGACCTGAATCCTGATCACTCTCTCAAATACTTTTATTATGTGGGACGTTAGTGCAACTGGTCTCTAATTCTTTGCCAATGCTTTGCTACCACCCTTGTGTAGAGGGGCAATGTCTGCTGCTTTAAGCACATCAGGTATCTCCCCTGTGTCCAAGCTTTTCCTCCACACTATACTGAGTGCCTGTGCTACCGGCACTTTGCATTTCTTTATAAATATTGAATTCCATGAGCCTGGACCCGGGACTGAGTGCATGGGCATATTGTCAATTTCTCTTTGAAAATCTGCCACGCTCGTGTTGATATCAGTTATATTTACAGGTGTTTGAGTATCATTCATAAAGAAATTGTCTGAATCTTCCACTTTTATGCTGAGTATCGGAGTGCTAAACATGTCCTCATACTGCTTTTTTTGGATTTCACCAATTTCTTTGTCATCCTCAGTGTATGAACCTTCACTAATACGAATAGGTCCAATACTGGCAGTGGTTTTTGCTTTTGATTTAGCATATGTGAAGAAATATTTTATTTTTTTCTTTATTTCTTGAATTGCTTTCTGTTCTAGTTGCCTTTCTTCAGTCTGATAGGAATGCTTCAGTCTCTGTTCGATTTCTTCAATCTCCCTGTTTAAATTATTTCTTCTCTGTATGGAGAGTCGTGTCTGCTTAAGCATTTCCGTTAATTTCTTCCTCCTTTTATAATGTCGTCTGCGTTGTCTTTCTACATTGAACCTTTTTCTGGCTTTCCTCAAAGGAACATGTTTCAGACAGACTTCATATGCTTCAGAAGTCAGTTTTTCTATTCCTTGTGTAGGATTTTTATTTCTTAGAACATTTTCCCATTGAATGTTTGTAAGTTCCCTGTTTATTTTCTCCCAGTCTATTCTCTTATTATTAAAATTGAATAGTACGGCTGCCCTACATGTTCCTAAAGCTTAGGATCGGTTCATAGATCTAAGCAACCTAGAACACTTTACTAAGCCCATGAAAGGAAAGTGAGAGACTCAGGATGATTTTAAGATTAGGGATGGTTACTGGAGGTCTGAGGAAGCAAATGTGTGCCCCCCTCGTATGCATGAGATTTTTCGATTCTTATGTTACGCTGTACTAACATCATCATATGTCAGCATGCGCATTTTCAGGCAAACAAGTTTTCTCGGCTGGCGCAGCACAGTGGTCAATTGTTAACCACTGGGCTGCGCTGGCCGAGAAAACTCGTTTGCCAGAAACTGTGCAGGCCGAGAAAACACCAATTTAACACTTTCGCGCTTTATATTAGAGATAACTCGTCACTGGTTTTTCTTACGATTCCGCATAAC